TCAAGGCAATCAAGCATCTAGCCTGAGATGGGGCAGGCCTTGTTGGCACCCCCCCCCTCTGCCTTTTAGGTCTCCAAGACCTTCTTCAATAGGAGACACTAGGAAAGTGCAAAAAGGGAGGCCTTGCCTGGAAAACTCCTGGAAGATGAAGGCTGTTGTCAGCTATGCTTCCATGGCAGGTGCGGGGGGAGGCCGATGTAGAGTCGGTTACTGTGCTGGAATTTTAACTTTCGTTTTTCCTCGCCTTGTCTTATCTGCTAGCTTAGGCCTGTGACCTTGGTGCCATGCTGCTGATGCTTTAGCTGGGAATAGGGTTGCCAAATCCGTTTGTTCTCGCGGACGGCATCCCCCTATGTTTTCCCCTCAAATGGCTGTGGCCACGCCCCCAGCATGCCTGGCGCCATCACGTCACATCCGGATGACGTGCATGCCGGGGTGGGTTTTCCCCCGGGGCCTGATTCCACGGCGGCGGAAATCGGGCCTCCAAAGCGGGGGGTAATGTTTAAAAGGAGCCTAGCTCCCAATGTTAAGTTGTTCTGGTTATGAATGCGTTTAAGTGCTTGTTCGTTACTTCAATAAAACTGAATCACTTGCTGAAATCACTCTCCGGTCCTTTGTTAGCAGCGATCTAACATTCAGCTTAATCGCTGATTGGCCCAGACCCATCGGGGACTCTGTTTTGAAGTGTGTATACCTTCTCATTTTGTGGGCTTGCAATTAGCTCTGACACAGAATGTATGCACAGATGAACTGCCTTTACTGTACTCAATAAACTTGAGCCTTCTGAAGGAACGTTGTTGAGAACTGATTGCTGCAGGACTCTGACAGCTCTCTGGGGAAACCCAACTTGGCCCACTTCTGCAAGAATGATCAGCTCCATCCCGACTCAGCAGAGCTGTCTGGAGCGTCCATGGGTGTGGCTGACAACTCTGATTTGGGAAATTCCTGGGGATTTGGGAGGGAGGGGTTTGGGGAGGGGCTTCAATGCCATAAAATCCTTCAGTTCCACCTGATCGCTCTCCTCCATTCCTTTCTGTTGTTTCCCCTCCTTTCTTCCAGTGCTAACAGAACACTGACTTCAAAGTGGGTTAGGCCCATTTGTAGATGGGGAAATGCAGATTTCTGATCCTCCCTGTCCACATCTAGAATCATTTCCCATGCCTGTTCCTTTGTACCTGCCAGCAGAAGACTTTTTACTGGCTTTCAGAAAACGTTGCTAGGTATACCACTAAAACATTTATGCACCATGTAACATTTCTGGAAATTTTAAAGCCGTGGGTAGTGGAATGGACATTTTGAGAAAAACTGAAATGTATGCAACCAGTGGGGGAACTGCAAGGGCGAGCAGGAGGCATCTGATTTTTCTCTGTATCTTTCCCTCCACCTGGCAGTCCCCATATCATTTCCCCTTTCCCTGCTTCAGATCCACTTTTAGAGCCATGAACAGATGAGCAGCTCTTTCTACAAACCTGAGGAAAGCTCCCAATAAGCATTTTACTTTTTCCAAAAGATAACATATTTCATAGGAGGATTCTCCCCCCACTGCTCTCCCCAGTTTATCAACTGAAATGCGGACTCTGTGGCATTATACCCTGTGGCAGAACATGCCTGCTCTGGCCTGCGGGCCGACTCCACCCTGCCCTCCGAGGGGTTCCCAACTCCATAGAGGGGCTTTTCCCCCATTCTTGGGTAGCCGCTGCCACCACCTGATCATTGTTGGGATTTCCCACTTGGAGGATCAGAACTCCCAGCTTCCCTTCCAAGCTCAGAGGCTGTCAGGCTCAGTATGCATTTTATGGTTCGCCTGCCATAGAGGAAGGAGGAGAGGGGTGTGACGAATGAAATGCTTTCGCTTTCCTACATGCTTTGATGTACCAGACACTGTGCCGCAGCATTGTTTTGCTTTATTTCTGTAGAGGGGTACGTGCTTGGGGGGGGGGGAGTTGTTGTTTTTAAATTCAGTTTATTAATGTTTATAGTGAACAATGATACAAAATATTATTTTTTCAACAGTCTATTACATTATTCACCCCCTTTATTAATAGAAAGTATTCTCCGGCTCATCCACCGACTCCTATTATATCTAAATACTAAACGAGGATTACTTTCTATTCGGTGTACTATTACCTTATGCTACCCGTTACATTTGATTCCATTTAGTTCCCTAGATTCTTCTTCCCTATTCGTATTAATTACAGTACATATTTTAACATAACATTAGTCGTTCTTCATTTAACTATTTGCTGTTAAACACTTCCAGTTTATTCTTAAAAAACAAACAAACAAACAAGTTCACCTAGAAAAGAAAACCAAATGGGTTGCCTCTCATAGGTAAAGGTTTCCCTTGCTCGAAAGCTAGTCGAATCCGACTCTAGGGTTGCGGTGCTCATCTCCGTTTCAAAGCCGAAGAGCCAGCGCTGTCCGAAGACGTTTCCGTGGTCATGTGGCCGGCATGACTAAACACCAAGGCGCACGGAACGCTGTTACCTTCCCACCGAAGTGGTCCCTATTTATCTACTTGCAATTTCTTGCTTTCGAACTGCTAGGTTGGCAGGAGCTGGAACTAGAGACGGGAGCTCACCCCGTCATGCGGCACACTCGGGTCTCGAACTGCTGAACTACTGACCTTCCACAGCCTGCAGTTCAGCGTCTTAACCACTTGAGCCACCGCAGCTCCACTTGCCTCTCATACCTGGGGCCGAAAGCTCGGCGGAGAGGAGCTCAGCCTTTCCTCCTCCTGTGGGAGGACTTACGGGGGAGCACTCCCCCCTCCCCCCTCATTACGCCCACTGTTTAAAGTTAAAACGCCTTAATAGCTTTCCGACCCCTTGTACCATAAAGTTTATCACTTATCTATTATATACCGTTTTAACATAAGGGGTTGTTTAATTATAAACTGTTTACAAATCATACTAGTTTCCCGTTGGGTAGTTGGCCGTTATTTCTGGCGGGCAAATGCTGTGGGGTGATTGGGTCCTGATCTTTAGTGCCTTTGCTTGAACACAATATCGCCCATTCATTATTAACCCTGCTGCAAAATTCTCGATGGTGCTAGGCAACCCAGGGCTCTGAGATCATGATCCATACGTTCAGTGGAGTGGTGGGGCCCTGCACTTCCCAGACCCCCAATGCAAAGCTCATGGGTGGAATCCCATGATATAAAATCCCCTGGAACCCAAAAGTGGTTTTATTATGTTCTCTTAATAGTATAGTTCATGATGTTGATCTTGAAATGATTTTAACTGCTGGGTGTTTGTACAGTGTCCTTTTGGAAACGTATAAACATACCAATGATATCAGACAGTCTGTATAAAATTTTGTATATTGCATATTTGAGTAAAATGACTTATTATATACATTCTTTAAGTATTAACAATTTAGTATCTGATCAGCTTCTTGGAAAATGGATTTTTTCCCATTATGTTTTTGAAGCATAAATATGAGGAGGGTGCTTGACCCTACAGAGAGAGAGAATATAGCTGTTTATTGGTAAAGTCTTTTTGGACAAATATTCTTGTAGGAATATGTATATTCCATCCTTGATTATTGCAATTATGTATTTAAGGAGGATAGATAGAATCTCCTTGAGTTGCTTTTGTAGTAGCGATTTAGAAGGTGTATGAGGTTTCTTAAAGATTTCGTGTATTAATTTTATGTATAGTCTGCTTAACTCACTAATTCTCAGTTTGTTTGTTTGTTTGTTTGTTTGTCTCACTGCTTCCTGGTGAGATACTTGCCATTTAGTCGCTCGTTCTCTTGTTCTTTTTTTGGTCTATGTAAACTATATGAAGAATTAATAAAAATTAAATGGGGAAAAAGGGGCTCAGACAAACAAAGATGGATGGAATAAAGCTTGAGTCCAGTGGGGCACCTTTAAGACCAACAAAGTTTTATTCTGGGTAGAAGCCTTCGTGTGCACATGTAAGTTTCACATTCTTCAGCTTCAGAGATGAATCCTATCCCCACCCCATGCCCTAAAATAGGGAAGGGGGGCGGGAAAACCCCCGCTTTGGAGGCCCGAGTAGAAGCCTTCGTGTGCACATGTAAGTTTCACATTCTTCAGCTTCAGAGATGAATCCTATCCCCACCCCATGCCCTAAAATAGGGAAGGGCTTATTAACAGACATCAGCTATGAGGGCTAAATGTTCTGCGGCAGGATCTCTTTGAATGTCAATAGCCAGGGGTCATTTCCTGCAGGAGCGCACAGGAGCGGAGCTCCGGCAGTAAAGAGCCCAGGGGGCGGGCACATGTAACAAGCCCCGGGCCACGAGGAGCACAAGGATCTGCACGTCCCTCCCCCTTAGCTAGCAATCCAAAACAGTCCAGTGGCGCCTGAGCAGTGGGTGTTGCCTTCTGACACACATCCGGTGATACCATGGGGTGTGGCAAATGCAAATAAGTTATGCTCATGAGCTCCTGCACCTCTTTTTCTATGAAATGACCCCTGTCAATAGCTAAAGAGAACAGATGGGGAGGGATGTCCAGAGGCATATCAGGCCCATCTGGGTCTGATCCAACAAGGGATCCCCCCCCCCGCCCTACCAAAGATCCCAGACCAAAACAAGACCAGACCATCATTTAGTAAAGAAATCAAACACTCTTCCCCCCCGCCCCGTCATAATGTTCATTTCTGGATAAAATCAGAGGAACACATATCCAGGTGGGCTCAGCCGTGTTGCTCAGAAGCAGTAGAACAAAGTTAGAGTCTGGTGGGGGGTACCTTTAAGACCAACTATGTTTTCTTCAAGGTATGAGCTTTTGTGTGAACGCACACGTCCTCAGATACAGGAGGGAAGTGTGCGCGCGCAAGAAAGCTCATACCTTGAATAGAACGCAGTTGGTTTTCAAGGGTGCCTACTGGACTTTAACCAGAGGAATACAGGTTATTGGTGACTCTGAACCTAACCCTGCTGTGGCGCCTGCAGACCTGCTCAAGCAGCAGTGTGTGAGAAGAGGAAGAGAAGAGAGAGTCCTTCCACGCGGCAGCTTTTTTTGCAGACGGAGGGGCCGGCTCTTGCAGGTGGCCGCTGGCCTTCCACTGGGGGTCAGGAAGGAAAAGGTTCTTTCTGGTCTGCCTCAGGTGAGAGCAGCCTCCCTGGCTCCAAGGGTCAGGCGAGAGGTGGGGAGGCCAGGCCTGAACTTAAGACCTCAGGCAGATATTTGGTGGGGATGGAGAAGGCGTGGCTGGGAGTTGTCCTTGGCAGGCTGAAGGCGGCTCTCCCTGCAGGGCGAGAAAATGCAGAGCTCGGAACTGCAGAGGAATAGCCCTATTACTCTCCTGCCTCCCCCCAAATCAGTTTAACCCCCCCCCCTCACAATCCTGGATTTGCACATTTTTAAAATAAACATTTTATTAATTTTCCAAATATTAAACATAACATACAATATATAACATAACTTTTAACCAAGAACATTAATAAATACAATATCCATAGAATCCACCTTCAAGCTTGCCATTCCTATACAACATAATGGTCTCCTCCTTTAAAGTTCAAAATTTGAAAAGTACCTAAAGGTGTTAACTATAATAATGTCGTTAAAATAAATTACAATACCCAACTTTGGCGAATAAAAGAATAATAATGAGAGTGTTGTGAACTACTAATATTTTCTAAGACAAGTTCCAATTTCTCCAAAATAGGATACCATCATCCATAAAATGAATCAGATAGTCGGGAAAATTCTTTGTAAGCTATACTATCTGAAATTTTATCCATAAGCAAATGATTCCATAAATTAGAATACCGATTTGCACATTTTTGTTCCCCTTGGCTGCTTTGTCTATGCCAGTGATAGTGAACCTTTTAGAGACCACGTGCCCAAACTGCGACCCAAAACCCACTTATTTATTGCGAAGTGCCAGCACGGCAATTTAACCTGAATACTGAGGGTTTACTTTAGGAAAAAAACAACTCATACATTAACTTAAGATGATCCAAACAATGTAAGGAAAGCAATCCCAAATGCTTTCATTTACTTAAAATTATTTGGCAGAGAGAATTAGACACTTTAATGATGGTCTGGGCCTGGCTGGGGTGATGGCACGCGTGCCCACAGAGAAGGCTCTGTGTGCCACCTCTGGCACCTGTGCCATAGGTTCGCCACCACTGGTCTATGCCTTCCACTCCCTTTGCAAAATGCTCTCCTTATTCTTTCCTTCCTAGAGAAGCTGTCCCAGCTAAGGCAAATCTGACCAACAAAGTTTATTTAGACCCTATACTAGATAACAACAATAATAATAAAAAAATCTTCCTGCTCCTTTGCCCTCAAGGCGGAGCTCAGGGAAACCATGGTCTCACACTGGCAACAGCTGCTAGTTCTTCTCCCCTGCTCCAGTCCCACTCACGCCTGAGGAAGCACTCTGTGCGTGTCAGAAGTTTGTGTCCAACATTTTAACCCCAAAATGGCTCAGCTAAAGCTGACGTGAAAGAAAAGCCCCTCCAGAACATTCCTCCTATAGAAAGCTGGGGCAGAGAGGAAACGGGACTGGCAAGTTGTTGGTAAGTGACTTTTTACCTGCCCAGCCACGGATCAACCCCAGAAAATAAACTTGCCTGGTACAAGTTGCAGACCATCCTGAACAGGGCCTCCATGGCCAGAGACTGCAAGACTTCGGTGTGCTTCTGGGAAAGAAAAGGGGAACTGTGAGAGGGGCTGCGTGGACACCGCCCCCCATGACAGACCTGAGGCCTCCACAAAATGCACAAGGCATGGACTGACACACACCTTTCCAAACTGTGGGGAAGATGCCATTGGGGGGGATGAGAAGAGGCAAACAATGGATGCCTATAGAAAAAGGGCAGCATGGCAGAGAGCTTTGGGTGGAGCCAGGGCTTTTTTTTGTAGAAAAAGTCCAGCAGGAACTCATTAGCACAATAGGCCACACCCAGCAGCAGAAACCCATTAGCATATTAGGCCACACCCCTGATTGAACCACTCATTAGCATATTAGGCTGCATTCCCATGTTACCAGAAGTGTGTTTTGGTCCCCACTGCGGAGAGAGGCGGGGTATGAATAAAGTAAATGAATACCAACAAGGCAGCATTTCACCCACATGTTGCTAACAGAGAGAGTGAATGTGTGTGTGTGTACCCCCACCCCACCCCCACGCTGAATAATGTGTTTTAAAGTTGGGGGGGGATAGCAGAAGGACAACCACAGTCAGCTGGTCAGACAGCGTCCAGAGGCAAGGAATGCTGACATTGGTGGACCGTGGAACCGTTTAGGATCCCGAGATATGCCCTTTTGCATTGCCGAGGGGATTCTGGAGAGTTTTTCAAAAGAGGCAACCGCAGAACGCAGGCCATAGTCCAATCCTTATTGGAAACATGCCTTATTTGGTAGTCAAAATGCTCCCCCCCCCCCGCCACCATTTAGGGAAGTTTTGAATTCTCAAAGGAAGAAGTTGCACAGCAACTAGTGGACAAATCTATGGCCCTGGAGTGTAAAAGCTGGAGGGAAAGATGTCTGGAAATAAGGGCTGAAGCAAAATCTCTTGGGCATAAGTTTCCCCCAGACCCTACAGGGGGTCACTCTATCTTACACTGAAATCCTGGCTGACAGGAGAAAAAAGAACAAACATTGTACCTAGATTCAGCCATGTTGGTCTAAATAAAGCAACAGAACAAGGCTTGAGTCCAGTCGGGCACCTTTGAGACCAACAAAGTTTAATTCTGGGTAGAAGCTTTCATGTGCATGCATGTGCGAAGAATTAAATTTGTGTTCAAAGAATTCAACTTTGTTGGTCTTAAAGGTGCCCGACTGGACTCAAACTTGGAAACGATGTTCCCTTAAATAGTGGGAAGGATAAGGATGCTACAGGAGCTGCGGTGGCTCAAGTGGTTAAGACACTGAACTGCAGGCTGTGGAAGGTCAGTAGTTCAGCAGTTCGAGACCCGGGTGCCGCATGACGGAGTGAGCTCCCGTCTCTAGTTCCAGCTCCTGCCAACCTAGCAGTTCGAAAGCAAGAAATTGCAAGTAGATAAATAGGTACCACTTCGGTGGGAAGGGAACAGCGTTCCGTGCACCTTGGTGTTTAGTCAGGCCGGCCACATGACCACGGAAACGTCTTTGGACAGCGCTGGCTCTTCGGCTTGGAAACGGAGATCAGCACCGCAACCCTAGAGTCGGATTCGACTGGCTTTTGAGCAAGGGAACCTTTACCTTTAAGGATGCCACCCAGAGGTAATCTTGCCTTCTTACTTTGGCTCAAAGGTCTCTGGGCTGAGATTTAGAGTGCGTCTCTCCCCCCAGGGTTGCCAAGTCTAGGAGGGCAGGGTTTGGGGAGGAGGGGGACCTCAGTGGGCCCCAATGCCGTTCAGAGTGCACCTTCCAAAGCTGCCATTTCCTCCAGGGGAACTGATCTCTGTGTTGTCTGGAGATGAGCTGCATTCCCAGGAGATCTCCAGACCCTCCTGGGAGGTTGGCCACCCTGTCTCCCCCTCCCCATTATACATCTGGCCCTCTGTGTGGTACTTACCCCATTGATGACTATCCATGGCACATACTTGTGCGGTGGTTTCAGGGCATCAGTGCGCTGCGCATTCTGGTGCATCAGCTGGCTGCCCAGGTCTCCGTTCACACAGGCCGTGACATTGGCCAAAGACAACTCAGGAGCATAAACCTTCAGACACTGCAAGATCAGAATGGGTTGGAGGGGGGGTATTTGTGGGTTGAGTAGCATCAGTGCGCCAGGCCAAAGATTTTAAACAATAGGTCTGCCTTAGAAGGTAGTTTGCACTGCTGAAGGACTCTTCTTGTACAATGAACAGAAATGGGGGGGGGGGTTTAAGCCCACGGAACTTCATGGGTTGGATCCTGTGGACTTGTTCTGCCAGTGGCGACTCTTTCCTCTGGGGCACGAAGCTCAAAGTGGCAGCAGGAAAAGGCTCCTGGTGCCAGAGAAGAGCATTGCTGCTCACAGAATCAGCCTGTGGAATCTTGCGCACAGCACGCTTTTCACCAGCGTAGTCCACAGCCACTCGCCTCTTTTTTGTGCCCAGCAACCGGCTCTCGGCTATGTCGTTTTGTTCTACCTTGATTTATTCCAAGAACGTACAGCCCACTGGGTCTTCCCCACATGGGGCCTGGCCATTTCAGCCCTGGAGGAAGACCGGCACCAGACAGGGCACAACAAGGCTGACCTAAGCCATTGCCACCGTAGCACCTGTGGGGGGGGGCACTGCCTACAGAAGCCTCAGTCTCCCCCTCCCCAATTTTGCCTGTCCTAACTGACATGAAAGTCCACGACCAGTTGCGTTTGGCCTACATCCACAGTATTCTTGGGGGACACATCCATCGGCTGCCTTCCAACGGGATGTCGATGGAGAGCTGGCCCATGTTCAGTGCCAGACACCCCACCCCACCCTGAGAGCGAGGGCTATGTCCCTCATGCCTGGCCAGGAAACTTCCTGGAGGGGACGAAGCTCAGTAGCCGAGCCCTGCGTGTCAAAGGTCCCAAGTCAGACTTCTGGCTTCTCATGTGGGGATCTCTACCCAAGACTGTGCTGAGTCAAAACACCCCACATGGCGCTAGCTGGACCAGGAGTCTGACTTGGGGGAGGGCATCTTTTGGAGACACAAGACCATTCTCTTGTGTCTGGCCCCAGCAGACCACACAAAGCCCTTTCCCAAACACACATACACACACACACCATCAGCACTGGGGGTGGGGGGCAGAAACCAAGGATCGCATACCGGCAACAGGTTCCCCACGACGTCGCTGCCTGACTCCATGCAGAAGATGACCGGGAAGTAAAGATCGAGGTCCCCGAGCAGGTGGATCAGGCAGGCCTGGGAAAGGCAGAAGCCCGTTGCAGGGAAGGAAGGGATGGTGAGGGTCAGGATTCAGGAAAGATCAGGGGGCCCACATGGGAAGAGGCAGGCAAGGGCTTCTCCAGCCAGCCAGCCAGCCAGCCAGCCGCTAGAGCACACTTCCCCCTGCCCGCACCCCACAGACACCACCGCCCAGGCATCCTCGACTGGCTCACCTCCATCATGTTCCCCTGGCACTCCTCTTGGCCATGCTGGCAGTCGAAGTGCCACTTGCCTTCCGCCTTTCTCTCCTGCAAGAAGGGCAACGCTCAGCGGGATTGCCACCGGCACGGCTGGAGTCCCACCCGCCCAGCAGAGGCCTGCCGGCCTTCTTACCTGTGCGTTGCCGTATGGCACCAGTGTGACATTCAGGATTTCATTCAGCATGACCCACGTGGGGAAGAGCTGATTGGAGAGGAAACCGCGGCAGGCTGGGCACAGGCTCTCGTAGTACAGCTGCACGGAGACCGGTGGGGAGGCCCGGTGGGCTGCCTTCCTGGCACAGAGCTGCTCTGCCTGCAAGAGACCCGCCGCGCGTGTCAGGAGAGGGGCCGCTGGCGTGACCGGGCTGGACAGTCTGGCCTCCAAAGCAGCCCCTGAGCGAATCGAAAAGAGGGACCAGAAGCCCTTGGGGGGCTTAAGCCCCCACCCACCACAATGTGTGAAAAAGCTAAAACCATTCATTGATGCCGATGCCCACTTCTAAGCCCAGGGGGTCAGGACGAGCATCGCGTATGGAATCAATGGTTCACATGAACGGCAGCTGGGATCCTTGAAAAGCACTGCGAGCCAGGTTTATTCATTTAAAAGCATTTCTAACCCGCCTTCCTCCAGAACCAAATTCTAGGTGGGTTACCATGATCATAAACACGATATATAATTAAATATCTGTTAAGAACTAACAGATCTATTAGCATCAAATCAACAGCACCAAAAGCGCTCCCGAGTGACTTCACCTCGCACAACTCGCAAAAATCTCAGCAACATAGAAGCCTTCACAACAACTTCAGGAAGGCTGTTGCTGCCTCTGAAAAAGTACTGGACGTCTCACTGGGCAGCCGGAGAGAGAAGGGCCAGTAGGCATTGGTCAGAGGAGCACAGCACCATGGGGGTTGGAACAAGGTCCCAGAGACCAATCTTGGCACGTAGGGTTGCCAGGTCTGGGTTGGGAAATACCTGGAGACTTTGGGGGTGGATCCGGGAGAGGGCGGGGTTTGGGGAGGGGAGGGGCCTCAGCAGGGTACAATGCCACAGAGTCCACCCTCCAAAGCAGCCATTTCCTCCAGGGGAGCTGACCTCTGTCAGCTGGAGATCAGTTGTAAAAGCGGGAGATCTCCAGGCCCCACCTGGAGGCTGGCAACCGTACTTGACAGTGTTTTGAGGCTGTAGAACTTGGTGCACCAGTTTGGGACTGAAACCTCAAACCAGAGGATGGCTCCCCCCTCACACACATCAGACCAGGGTTGTGCCCATTGCCATGCCAACAAGTTGTGCCTGGGCCCACAGCCCAGCTGTTGGCTGAAATGAGAAGACTTTGGCCTAAGAAAAACCTGGCAAAACTGTCCACAGCAGCTCCTCACTGGGGTGGAGGCCATGCAGATACCAGATAACGCAGACTGTCGGTGGGGCCTTCTCTCCAGGAGAGGCAGAGTGCAGGGAGAGGCCATGCTGCTTTTCCCGGCAGCTGCTGCTGCTGCCACCACCTTTGTCTCTGTTTCTGTTCTGTTTCACCAGCTCCACTGGCAACCTTAGTTGTGTGGGGCAACCAGGGCAGCTGCCCCCAGGCCCTGCATGGTTTGCTCCCCTTTCTGCTGCAGTTAGGGCTGCCAATTCCCCCGGGGGGGGCAGATTTCCCCCCGCTTTGGAGGCCCGATTTCCGCCGCCGTGGAATCGGGCCCCGGAGGAAACCCCAGCCCGGCATGCACGTCAGCTGGATGTGACGTGCTGCCGCCGGGCACACTGGGGGCGGGGCCACAGCCATCTGAGGAGCCCCCCTGCCGCAGAACAAAAGGTATTTGGCAACCCTAGCTGAGCCTTTGGCCTAAGAAAAACCTGGCAAAACTGTCCACAGCAGCTCCTCGCTGGGGTGGAGGCCATGCAGATACCAGATAACGCAGACTGTTGGTGGGGCCTTCTCTCTGGGAAAGGCAGAATGCAGGGAGAGGCTATGCTGCTTTTCCTGGCAGCAGCTACTGCTGCCGCCACCACCTTTGTCTCGGTTTCTGTTCTGTTTCACTGGCTCCACTGGCAACCTTAGTTGTGTGGGGCAACCAGGGCAGCTGCCCCCAGGCCCTGCATGGTTTGCTCCCCTTTCTGCTGCAGTTAGGGCTGCCAATTCCCCCGGGGGGGGCAGATTTCCCCCCGCTTTGGAGGCCCGATTTCCGCCGCCGTGGAATCGGGCCCCGGAGGAAACCCCAGCCCGGCATGCACGTCAGCTGGATGTGACGTGCTGCCGCCGGGCACACTGGGGGCGGGGCCACAGCCATCTGAGGAGCCCCCCTGCCGCAGAACAAAAGGTATTTGGCAACCCTAGCTGCAGTGGCAGCACCACAATGGGCTCAAGCACTCCTACCTGCCCCGATTCCACCCCTCTGCACCCCGCTGCAGCCAGCCAGCCCTCCCCACACCAGACTGCAGATGCGTGCCAGGTCCAGGAATAGAAGGCTACCAGAAGAGACACCACCACAAAAAAGGGAGGGGGTGTGTGATACCCAACCATCAAAAAAGCAACAAGAATCTATTTATTTATTTATTTTTATTTATCTGATTTATACCCCGCCCTCCCCGCTTTACAGCAGGCTCAGGGCGGCTTACACTAATAAATACGATACAATTAAAATCACATAAAATAATCTCAAACAGTTCAGCTATAAACAGTCATGATTTATAAAGTGCCTCAAAATAAACAGTTGTTATAAGATGGCATATAAGAGTGTACACAGATCTCACCATCATTCTGCTCAAGATCTTCCTGAAAAACGGGCGGCGCAGGCTAGGTGTCGAGAACCAAGGGCCAGGACAAAAATTAAAGCTGTTAGCACGGTGGCGGCTCCTAATTAAAGGCCTGGTGGAAGAGCTCCGTCTTACAGGCCCTGCGGAACTGTAGAAGATCCCACAGGGCCCTGATCTCTTCCAGGAGCTAATTCCACCAGTACAGAGCCACCACTGAGAAGGCCCTGGTAATAGCAAGCCTGGCATCTTTGGGGCCCGAGAGGGTCAGTCTGTTTTGTGACCCCGACCGTAGTGCTCTCTGGGGTAGATATGGAGAAAGGCGGTCCCTCAGGTATGTCGGACCCTGGTCATATAGGGCTTTAAAGGTAAGAACCAGCACCTTGAAGCGAAAAAAGGTTGAGAGCACCACATCTGGGTGGCTCTGGTCCAAATAACAAGACCAATGTACGTGTTTGAAATTAGCATGGCAAGACACATACACGTAGCTTGATGTAGTTATTTGGACTACAGATACCCAGATGTGGAAATATTTGAAGACTGATTTTATACAAGGAGTATTTAATTCACTCCAAGAAATTAATTTGCTTATCTTGCTGGGTCGTGATTTGTTATGTCTTTTGCAGTATGAGTTTGATGGGAATTATAGCGCTAATTATGGCCATAGGCCACCGTTGAAGGCTTCATGCATTTGGCATTGTTTTATTGTACTTGGCAGTGTGTGTTATTTTATTGTAGGTGCCCAATTATTTCCTGTTTTGGTTTTGTTTATTTATTAAATTACGGGCACTATGTTTTGTGCACATAATTGAATTTTTTCATGTATATATCACATCATACTAGGTTTTCTGGGTTTTTTGGTGCTCTCAACCTTTTTTGGTAGATCATAAGAAGAGCCCTGCTGGATTAGACCAGAGGTCCGTCCGGTCTATCATCCCATCTCACACAGTGGCCAACAAGTTCCTCTGGAGGGCCAACAACAGGGCAGAGAGTCTGAGGCCTTCCCCTGATGGTGCCTCCTGGCTCTGGGATTCAGAGGCTTAATGAACAACTTTGAACCTGGAGGCTCCCTTTAGGCCCCTTGGTGAGCAGCCATGAATCTGTCCAAGCCATTTTTAAAGCCATCGAAGCCTCTGGCCACCCTTACATCTCCTGCCAGCAAATTCCACATTTTAGTGTTTCCTTTTGTCTGCCCTGAACCTACTGCCCATCAGCTGAATCGGATCCCCCTGTGGACTGCAATGGCACAACAGATCTTGAGGGAATCACCTGCCCATCAACTCGATTTATTTGACATGTTAATTAACTGCCTTTCTTCTGATGGAGCTGAAGGAGGCTTACAAGATTAATAAAAACGTTTTAAAACATAACACCAACATTTAAAATCACCACTGAAAGGCAGGCAGAACATGTGCAACAGCCCCATCACCCCCCCCTCCTCCTTGCACTGCACGCTTTCTGCATGTCGACCCCACAGGGAAAAGGGGCACAGAGTGAGGCTTAGGGCTAGAGGCTTCCAGTGGGTTAGAAAGTGGCTTTTTTATCTGATGGAAAGGTGAGTTTAAAACACAGGTGCTCTTGAGCCAAGAGGCAATGCACACCAGAAGAGGGAGAGCTGGAAGCAGAGAGAGAACATGCAAAATGCAAATCCAGAATTTGTTTTCTCTGTAAAGCAACTGATGTGCTCTCAACATGCTCCATTTACAGAAACCAAATGCACAAGAACCAAAGTTACGCCTGCATCATACATGGGATACAAGTGCAAACCTGTCAGAGCTTTCTGAACAAACAGCAGTGTATGCCATGCCTGAAGTGAATCAGACTCAGGCAGCTCTAACCAAGTGATTTCAACTTTATTAACAAGAACGATCCAACACAAAAACCATAGGAGCCAGAGCTCCCTTTAAACATCCCGGGCTGGGGAAGCCACGCCCAGTAGAATGGTAAGAACCAATCATATTTACACGATAAAGACTAATAGAATGCTTTCCCTCCAAGTACACTGCTATGCTTTGATTGGCCTGCTGTCAGGAGCAGCCAATGAGAACTGTCAGATCAGTATACTGGGCTTCTACGAAGCAAGGACTGAAGTTTAGTATGTAGTTCATAGTCTAGTACATAACAATGCCCACCTGACTATGAAGCTTGCTGGGCGCCCACGCATCACTCACTCTTCCTCAGCCTGCTTCCCAATGGCATTGTTTTTTGTTGTTGTTTTTTGAGCCCCCGGAGGGGATTTTTTATTATTTTTTATCACTACAAAAAACTACAACAGAAAAAAAGCGAGGGGAAACTACATATACGGGATAAAGTAAAGAAGCCACTACTAACTAAAACCCCAAGAGAGGAGATCCTCCAACTAGCTTAGATACATTGAGTCTTCTCGTCATTGATCCCTTTATAAACTGAGTCAAACATTTATAACACTTTTTCTTTAAAGCTTAGATGTAACCGTCTAGCAACAGTACCCCCAATCATCCCATAACAAAAGTCTCAAAGGCACAATTCAGAGTCCTTCAGCCTTTACTTCTCCTTTCCCCTTCTCTTCCGCAGCTTGTAAGGACTTT